ATCACTCATCATTAGGGAAATACAAAATCAAAACCATGAGATACCACCTCACACCAGACAGAATGGCTAATTAACAGCTCAGGAAATAACACATGTTGGCAAGGATGCGGAGAAAGGGGAACCTTCTTACACTGTTGGTGAGAATGCAAACTGATGCAACTACTCTGGCAAACAGTATAGATTTTCCTCAAACATTAAAAATAGAGCTACTCTACAACCCAGCAATTGCACTACTAGATATTTATCCAAAGGATACAAAAATGCTGATTTGAAGGGACACATGCACCAATGTTTATAGCAGTACTATCAGCTATAGCCAAACTATGGAAAGAGGTCAAATGTCCATCAACTGATGAATGGATAAAGAAGATGTCATATACACACACACACACAAACACACACACACAGAGGAATATTACTCAGTCATCAAAAAAGAATGAAATCTTACCATTTGCAACAATTTGGATGGAACTAGAGGGTATTACGCTAAGTGAGATAAGTCAGCCAGAGAAAGACAAGTATCATATGATTTCACTCGCATGTGGAATTTAAGGAACAAAACAGATAACCCAAACCTATTGGAAGGCAAAGAAAAATAAAATAAGATAAAAAACAGAGAGGGAGACAAACCATAAGAAACTCTTAACTATAGAGAACAAACTGAGGATTGTTGGAAGAAAAGAGGGTGGGAGGATGATGCACTATTTGGGTGATGGGCTTTAAGGAAGGCACTTGTTGGGATGAGCACTGAGTTTTGTATACAAGTGATGAGTCATTAAACTCCACTCCTGAAATCAATACTACACTATGTGTTAACTAACTTGAATTTAAACTAAAAACAAACAAAAAACAAAAAATTATTTCATTATTTATTTACTATTGTTGATTCTACTTTTCAGTTAACTTTTTTGTTAGCCTAAGGTTTTCTTGTATAGTACAATGGATTTATAGGAAATATTACATTTAAACAAGAGTTTAAATTTGGTCATAGGGCAGCCGGGTGGCTCAGCGGTTTAGCACCACCTTCAGCCCAGGGCATGATCCTGGAGACCCTGCATGGAGCCTACTTTCTCCCTCTGCCTGTGTCTGTGCCTTTCTCTCTGTGTCTCTCATGAATAAATAAATAAAACCTTTAAAAAAAAAGTTGGTCATAAAAGCAATTTTAGAGGGAAACCACAATTATATTTTACTGAGCAGTTAGCAAACCTTATAGATATATCTCCAGGAATACATATTTATCCCTTTTCTCATTTCTTTGTCTTTGAATTTATTCACAGGTTTAAAAATAAAAGTTTCACCTTGCAGTCAATAATCCTCCTTTTTTACCAGAGTGATCTCTATAGGACACTTTAGTTTGCACGTTTTGAATCTTCTCTGGCATTTACCACTCACTCTATAAGATTATATGGATGCTGCCCTGTCTTAGAATAACAAATACTGATATGCTAATTAAAAAATCCTTATACTTTGATATATCATCTTCAGATGAAAAAAAAAAGTATTCTATAAAAGCCATTCAACAAATCTTTTTTAAGCAGACATCATGCAGAAGCATGATGAAATTGACAAAGATATTGTCAGTATCTTCAAAATTTTATAACATTAGGAGTTCAGACATCTCTTTTTTTTATATGTGACTAAAAACTAAAGTCACTCTGCAAGCCACCCATGGAATGGGTTCCCTTAGCCTTTAAAGAACGGAAAACGTATATACTAATTATGTGAATTTAAATTTTTAATACTCCTGTATTACTCTATTGTCTTGTATTTGCTTTTAAGGTCATATGTAACTTGATGAAAGTTACAGAAACATTCATTATTCTTAAGAGCAAATGAAACTCTGCATTGCAGTCTGCTGGCTCATCCATAATTCAGCATCCCAGCCTAAAACATTATGCTCAAACAAGCACAAATATTGGCAAAGGTGAAATATTGAACTGCTACAGTAGCAGCTAAATTACGTAGCAATCTGTGTGTGCTTCAATTTCCTAGCACTAGAAATAAAAATTAAAAGCAGAAAAACAGTCAACAATTATGGTTATAAACTAAATAAGCAAAAGAGCAAAGCCAAGTGGCCATTATTCAAAGCTACATGATTTTTATTAGTTATACACAGATCTGATATGACAATAAAATCCAAGAGGGGGGAGAAACATTAGTTGCTTGGCTTATCTATCTAAACAAAGAAAAGAGGATTCTAGAAGAATGTTCTTATGGATCTGAACTTTGAAAATAGCAGCTCTGGTTCTATTTAAGTTAACAGATTTATTTTTTCCTCAAATATATTTCCTCATTTGTCATAATTATCTGGGCAATAATGCCAGTCCTCCATTTATTAGCACCATGATTACTGGTTTGGAGGTTCCATCAGGCAAGAAGAATCACTAAATATCCTCGACAAAAAAACAAGTCTCCTCTGTCCAGGGACTTTGACTCTTGCTTGGTCTCAAAGCATCAGGAGGATGCACAGTGAGCTGTGAGATGCAGGGGAGACACAGACCTAGCCAGCTGAATCAGCACAAGTAACCCCGCTGATCAATATGTTAACAGATATATCCACTAGATCACCTTCACTTCTGACCCTTGTGTTCTGTTTCCACTGCTGTAGGCTAGATTCATTGCATCTTGTGGCAGTACAGACCTTACATTTGTTGCCATTAATAACACACACAACACACATACATATAGCAGAATTGATGTCAAAAACTAATGATAAATATCTAGCACTTAGAAATTTTGTCTTCTTTCGAATGGTAGGATTTACTGTTCTAAATTTGTCAGATATCCTTATGACATGTTATAATTCTTTCTTTTACTAGAAAGGGGAAAGTAATTAATACAGTGAGTATAGTCACTTTATTATGTAATAAAATTACTAGTTTTAGGTACCACATGATATATAAAACCATCAACACTCCTCCTCAAATTTGCATAACTAGAAAAATTTGCAACAAATTATCAAACCTGTCTCTTCATCCACTTTTTTCCATGACTTTTTGAACAGCTCACCAGATGACTGTGTTTATGACTTTTAAAGCACCTTTTGTCATCATCTCACTGAGCTTTGAAATTATACAGAGTGAGAACTGTCCACATTTTATAAGCCAGGGGTCCGAAAATGCACAGATGTTACATAGGACATCCACTGTCATAGGCCACGTGTAGGAGGGGAGTGGGGGCTCCAGTGCTTTACCCCACTCCACACACCTCTCTAGAAAAACCACTGATCTATACACTACAGAAAATAATAAAACACTGAGGCATCAGTCCTCTTCCCCTTCCCTCTTACCCCAACTACTATCGCATTGGAAAAGGTTCCTTCAAGCCAAAATAAGAATAAAGAGTAAACTGTTTGTAGGATCATAGTCTGATTCTGAATTTTTTTTCAAATTTACCCTGTATAATTTCACTTTATTTTCAATATGTGTATGTATCTCACCCGAAGAACTTTCACATTTCATAGACTCAAAGGAATATCTGCTTTATAACCTAATTATCTTCCCCTACACTTTTGTAAGGCACCTGCTACTTTCCTTCTCATTACTTCATAAATGAGGTCACCGAGACACAAAATGGCTCAGGAATTTGTGCCTAGAAAACAGCAAAGACAGACATGGACAGAAAAATGGAACTCCATCTCAGTATTCCATCCACCCTAATAAAGATGTACAACTTAAGTTGGATATCCTTGGCATTGGGTATACTCTCAATCAGAGGGTTTTTTTGGCCAGGGAGGAGGTCTATGCCCACATACTCAGCAAGGATCTGTCCTTTTATCTAACCAGGCTCTTTCTGGCATGACAGTGAGAATTCAACCAGAAACATTTGCACTGAAGCCTCAAAAATCAGCCCAAGACACTCAGCATGAGAGGGAACCATGTGATTACAGGAGCTTCAGTGAAACTGGTGATCCCTGGTTAGAGGGAGAAACTCTACCTTTCTAGAGCTGAGAGCATGCTATAGGCCATGAATATCCATATTCTCATCTGTATTTGAAAGTCAAGAGTGCTTCACTGGAAATTACTGCTATGCACATCGAATGCATTGTAAGCAAGGAAGGCGGAATTGTGAGAGATTAATAAGATGGCTGTAGTGCCAAACCACAATGATCACCTGCTGGAGAGAATAGAAAAACAGAAAGCCAAGTATAACATTACTTTTAATCTCTCTTGACAAAGACCAGAGAAAAACCCAATTAAATTTAGAGATTTTTATACCTAAAAGTACACATTTGAAGCTGGAGGATGTGGCATTAGAACAGTGACAAAGAAGTAATATTTTCATATTCTTATAGATGATTATTTTTATGGCTTAAGGAATATACATGTTTAAATGCATGCTTAATTCATAATTACTTTATTAATTGCATAATTCAGTCAGTATAAAATTAATTTTTAAGCTGCCATAACAGTTCACTGCTAATTCTCTTCTAAAACACAGTTTATTGTTAGAGAAAGAACAGTGATGGAGAATGTGGTTCTAGTCCACACGCCGTCACTTACCATTAATCTTATCATGTCAAAAACTCCCTGGTTCTCATTGCCTCATTTTGCTTAAAGACTTTCTAGATATATAAGGGCTTTCTAGTTGGGATAAGTAAACCCCTGGTTGGCTTATTTGACCATAGCATACAGTTCTTTGTCACCATCATCATGATAACCTTGCACACTGTCACTGCGTTGTATAGTCCTTGGTGATTGAAAGGCAGCTTGATAACTGGATTCCCAACTGGACACTGAATAACCATCAAGGTCACATGAATGCAGACACAAACCAAACAGAGATCTTTGTCTTTTTTCTACATGAAAAAGATGGCATCTTAAAATAGCATGGACTCATCTGGGAATGCTAGGAAAAGAGATCACTGTGATTCCTTGCTATAGACTCATAAAACTAAAAGGAAGTGCAAGCATATTGAAAAGACCCTGAGTTAAGCTGGCATTTGAACTTAAAAGCATAGTTAAAAATAAAGACCAAACCCTTACATTTCTGCCTCTTACCTTGCAGCCTCTGCATCACATTAGCAATGTCCCGAGGAGACCGTGAGGTCGTCCTGGAAGCTGCCATGGTGCTTCCTGTAGCATGAAACCAACACCAGAGACTCTTCACCTAGGGCAGTGTAGCAGTACACCACTCAAGAAAACATCCTGGAGCTTCTCTAGATCTTTTGAGTCATACACGAATCCCAAGGAACTTGGGACAGAGAGAGAGCGAGTGAGGGGCAGTGCTTCCAAAGATTGAAGATTGAATCCCTTTTTCTTTTTCTTCTTTTATTTTAAGACTGTTCTCTTAAATGAACTCAGGAACCTGAAAAACAAATTAAAATATACAGCATTAATATATATATTAATTAAATTTACAGCATTAATACATATATATATAATATACCCTCATGCTAAAAAGAAAACACTTTTTATTCAGTTCGATAGATGATTCATTATCAAGTGAAACACTTTTAAAGTATTAGGCAAATGTTAAGAATCCTTATATCTGACAAGATAAATGCATACATGAGAGATATATAATAAAGTGGGTTGCTAAAAAAGAAATATTTGCTTATTCTGTGTTTTCTTTTTAAGCTATAATCTCTCTTCATTCATCTATGAAAGTGAATGTACTGTGAAGCCAAAACATTAAGTCCTATTTCTCAATATTCCCAGTTCTCTTATCGATGCTATTTCCACCTGCTTTGTACATACATTTTGCTGTTTCATCTGTACACTTTCTAGGAATGATATTAAATCTTAGCTTCTAGATAAGCATTGAGTAATGCATAGAATTGTTGAATCACCAAACTGTATACCTGAAACCAATGTAACACTGTATGTTAACTACCCTGGAATTAAAATTTTAAAAAAAGAAAATAACTTTAAAAAATCTTAACTCCTAATAACAATTTGCTGAATTAAAACACTAAAAATATCAAAGTATTTCATTCTAAAAATGTGAGTTTCAAATATTCTGAATTTAGAAGTCAAAATGGATATGATATAGCTTCTTTCCTTCCCATAAAGACTCCAAAGTCGGTTATAAAGCTAGGGTAGGGGTGGCCTGAGCAGAGGGGCCATTTCCCTTCTAACCCCTTCCTGAATTCTCCATTTTGGGCAAGTTCAAGTCATTATTCTGGACTGGGCAAGGAGAAAAAGAGATAGAAGAGTAGTTGATGAAAGCTTGATATTGATACATCTACTTTGAACAAGGATTTCCTTACCCTAAGGTTAGTTGAAGAGAAGATTTTGCTATGAGAGGATAAATAATGAAGAAAGGAGAAGAGGGTGAACGTGCACCCAGAAAGAGAAGCTCAACCAAGGGGCCACACTAAGGCACCCCATGCAAGATGACACTTTATACAATTCCCACTTATTAAGATGAAGGTGAAGAAAAAAGATGGGATGGGGGCAGGGGAGGATGGCAAAAGCAAACCTGTAAAGAAAACACATACATGTGGGATGGTCCATCTGCTGGAAGGAAAAAAAGAAACCAAAAAGAGTCTATGATGTTATCAAAAACTATATCATGACCTGAATGTATGGTCATAGAAGCAGTATATTTTATGAGACATTGGTTATATAATAAAGTCTAATTACAAATTACAATTGACTTTAAAAAGGCATTATTAATACTAGTATACATGGTATCTGGTTAGAATGCATGAATGCAAAGCCATACTACCTGTTTTAGAATACTATCTGGAAAAAGATGCAAAACATTGCATAGGCTGCTGCCCTGTGTGAAAAGGCATCAGAAAAGTATAGTGGAGCAAGAAAGGATGTACTAGTCACTTAACAGGTTAGGGTGAAGTAGTGCAGTCAACAGCCTTAATTGGTAAGAAGGCACAAGCGGACTTCTCGCGGCTACTTGAAAAGATATTTAGAAGGATACTAGGCAGCTTCTGGGCTAGAGAGGTACCTCTCAGTGCGTAGGTTTCCAATGGACCTCTGAGGAGAAATAATTACTTACGGCTAGCCTATCATGCATTAAGGCCTTAAGCCCTGCTGGAATTGTGTACCCATTAGCAGCCTTCATCTCTTGAGGGAAAACATTCCACTTGCCTACATTCAAAAGCTACCATAATTTGGAGACTAATAAACAAAGGAAAGTGCCTAAAATCTTACAACTGGCTCCTCTAAACTGTTAGAAAGTTAAGTTTTCCAAATGCAAGAATATAACTTTCTGAACTCTAGCTAGCTAGCTAACTACATACATAGAGATGAGGGAAGAAATTCATTTTAATTCAGCTATCCCAAGCCAGCCCCTGCCCAGCACTGGCATTCATAGAAGATATGTCTTCTATCATCAATCAAGAATTATGGAATAAAAAAGGATTTCTCTCAATTACTGCATTACAGATCACCATGTTTCTACCTTCTTCTAGTTCACATTCATGTTACACAATAGATTAATTTTGAACTCTCTCTCCTTCTCTCTCGTATGTGTGTGTGTGTGTATTTGAGATATATTTGATATATACATAAGAGATATATACATCTTATGATGGCCACATTACACTCAGAATTTCTCTACTTATGTCCAAAGTCAGGTTATGTATCCAGTCTTACTTCTACAGTATAACAAAAGCATTCTGAATGTCAGAGTTCAATGCTGGGGGTACCAAGATGAATATGACATAGATTCTATTTTTTGAGGAGTTTAGAATATAGTGGGAGATACAACATAGAAAAACAACCAGTATAACAATACCACAGGCAAGTGCAAATATAGAGATGGAAAATGCAAATAAAAAGTTGTTAACCTAATCAGAAAATTCTCAGTGTCCTGGGAGGGAGCCTACCCCTGAACTGAGTCTTGGTAAATGAGTCAGGTCTAGTGAGGAGAAAAATATGAAAGACACAGTTCAGACGGAGTGAATAGTTCAAGCAAAGTCATGGACACAAGAAACAACATGACTTTATGTGGGGGTACCAAGAGTTAGATTGTGAAGGACTCTACCAGGTGACACTCTGGAGCTGAGGCTGGAGAAGGAGGTAGCATCAAATGATTGAGGGCCCTGTGTGCTATGCTTACAAGCTTGGTCCTGATTCTCTGGGAGGCAACAGGAAACCTCTGCAGGAATTTAAACTCTAAGTGCCCAAGTATAATTTAGATTATTCTAAATACAGTTCTTTCTTTTTTTTTAAGATTTTATTTATTTATTCATGAGAGACACACACACACAGAGGGGGGGGCGGGCAGAGACACAGGCAGAGGGAGAAGCAATCGCCATACATGGAGCCTGACGTGGGACTCAATCCTGGGTCTCCAGGACCAGGCCCTGGGCTGAAGGTGGCACTAAACCGCTGAGCCACCCGGACTGCCCTCTAGATACAGTTCTTAAGGGTGTATTTAAAGGAGACAAGACTGAAAGATCCAGAAAGATCAGTTAGGAAAGTATCTCAGAAGTCAAGACAGGAGATGATAGACTGAAATAGGACAATGAGTAGAGGGTAGAAATCTGAAAAATCAGGGAGGGGAGACAGGAAGTAGTTGGTGGGATTGTCAGAGTCTCTTGGATGACTCTCATGATTCTGACTTGAGATGTTGTGGGCCATGTACTACCAATTGAGCTTAGCAGCCAGAAGGGCTATGCAGGTTTTACTTCTAATACTTTTCGCCTCATACACTTATGTCCTTGCCGAACAACTTCACCCCTGTGTGGGGCACTGTCAACTGAGCAGATTCAAAGTGTCCCTAAATACCTGGCCCAGGACTCACACTCTGCTTGAAGCCATCCCTAAACACTCCAGTACAGACTCAGCACTAACAATCCATACTATTATAAATATGATTTTTCTTACGTTCATCATCATGGTTAACCTTACACTCTAAGTAGACTGTGAACATTCTGTGGGCATAGTCTGTAACTCATTTTGTTTTGACATCCCACCCATCAATGCCAAGTACATCCCTGGGAACATCCTAGGCCCTCAATACATATATTTGTTTTAGCGTCAACTTCATAGTACTTTCCCTTGATGAGAGAACCCCCAGAAAACCCCTCCCACCTCACTGCAAAAGAAGTTAATGCAATATCCTTCCTTTTTCAGACATAAGATAAAATATTTTGCTTTCATCATCCATGTATACACACATATTTCCTCCTTCGTGAAATTATGACATTCTTGTTTTTTACTGATACTTTCACTTGATGGGACATATGATCTGAAAATTTAATTTAAAAATATAAAAGAAGACTGGGGATTAGAAGGTAGGAGTTCTGGGCTTAGCTTTGTTCCAACTAGCTGGGTGAGTTTGAGCTGGTTCTGTGTATGGACCATTCCTCAATGGCCAATCACAGGGAGTGTGTACCGGGACATGCACACACTATGGACTAAGAAAGATCTAGAGCAAAGTCTTAGTTTTGTCCATATGACCTTAATAAAAGTTAACTTTTCTAAACACTTGTTTCTTAATCTGTAAAGTGAAGATGTTTTATGCTAAATTAGGTTTAATTTTATCCTGCATAAGTTAAATTTAAAAAGATCATGATGTAATATGCTTAGCAGATTGTTTGGCATGTAGCAGAGTTCCAGCAAATAACTGGTTTCCACGTCCCTTCCCCCAGCCTCAGTTCCTCCACCTGCAATAGGAGAAATGGACCCAGAATGGAGAGGCTCTCTCCAGCATGCTCATCAGGTCCAAAACCAATGGCAGCATAAGTGACAGGTGAAATAACGACTGGTACAAGGTCACGAGAACTTGAAATTCTTTCCAAGAACTGACGGATTACCTATCAGTGCTCTTGCTGTGGGCCTGACCTATAAAGCCAGAATGTCAGAGGAAGGCCCAGCACCATCCACGAGCTCACTACTCCCAGGGAAATTGAAAAAAGTTTTAATAGGTGCAAGAGATTGTGGGCAGTGGTGGTGGTTGGGAGGGGTCCAGTACTGGGATGGAAAGGAGAATCAGCTAGACACCGATAGATGTCTACTCTACCAATGAGCAGTTCCAGCACAATCTCCAAATCCTTCCAGGAGAAGGAACGAAGATCGCACTGCAGCTAAGTACATCTACCACGCCTAGCAGAGAATCAAGAGCCCATGCTTACTTCATACATCAAAAATATATTGAGAAACTATTCGTAAAGGACATTAGTACTGAGTAAATAGCTGTGAACAAGACAGATAAGCCCTTCTTAAAGCTTATGTATCCAGAGAGAGAGAGAGAGAGATGTTATCAATAATACCACAACAAAGTAGGGTGAGTTTTGTCACAGAGGAGTCCAGGGAACTGTGAGAGCAAACTGAATACCCAATCAATAACCATCTGCTGCATTTATTGTGCAGAATGCAGGGGGAATGTATACTGTCTGCTATGTAGGATTTTCCTATCTGAACAACATACTCTTCTTAGCAGCCCCTGTGAGAAGCACAGGAGTGAATCATCAAAACCCGACTTCTCCAGTCTCTAAGCAGAATGGACAACTGGCTGCTAAAGCAGTTTCTTGTTTGTGGTCCTAAAAAGAAATGCAGAAAACATTAGGAAGAGCACTGCTGGGCTCTAAGAACACATCATAAACCAATACAACTACAATTGTAGGTATTGGGAAACTACAGCAGAAAATTGCAAACCCTGTGACCACTAGAGATGATGTGGTTCATTTCTAACTGAAAACGATGTACCATAAAACGCAAACAGATACACAGTAGAGTAGGAAGCATAAATGTTACTAAAATAGATGTCTACATATGTAGAAGAATAGGACCCCTATTAAAATTCGCTACTAAACAAAAATAAAAAAGCTAATAACTACATCCCCATCCCGTTCTCTCTAAGTCCTTTGCGGGAGTGAGTCACATGAGTGTCTAATTTTAAATTTAATTATTGTTTTTCTGTATTCATCCTTTAGCGATGGTGTTAATTAATAATCATGAAGAAGGCTGAGCAGTAGAGAAGGAGAGGGACATCTGGAGTTAATATAAATATATAACTTATGTATGTATATGGGCTATCGGTGAATAGTACTGTGAATTATTCACAATTATGAACAGGGTAACAAATAGGAACCGGTCCTTTTTCTGGAAGAACAAAAATGTAAACAAATAAGCAAACGACAAAATACAGAGCTGACCAGCATGACAGATAGGAAGTGTCATGATTCAGTTTTTTTTTTGGTTTAACTTGGAGTATAAATCAGGCCCAACGATATCTGTTACCTTCCTCCTCTTTTTGTTAGAGTATATATCACACCCCTTGCCAAATAACTAGATCTGGCTAGATTGGATCACAAGGAGGGACACATACAACACATATAAGAGGAGGAGAAATGTAAATTCCTTCACAGGGGAATCTTGGGCCCCATTGCCTATCATGGGGTGTGGCTGCAGTGTCTAGAGCTGAGAAAACGCCACCAACCTCGCCCTGCCATGGGCTTCTTACATCCTGTTCAGTTATGCCTCCTTTCATTTCCAAGAAGCTGTGTGTGTGGCACACTTCTCAGAGAGTGGGTCCTAGTGTGGCATCCTGCGCATTTAATGCAAGGCATTCTTGCAAGATTCTGAATGGTAAACTACCTTTTCCCAAACCCTGCTCCCTTGCAGGAAGGAATCAAGTGACAAGAATTTTTGTATGGGGACAATGAGAAGAGAAACAAACCAGCTTGGGAAAAATCATTAGTTAAGAGAGATAAAAATGAGTCTATACTGTGATAGCTGAGCAAATAGTTTCAAAGGCCAGCAATATCACTATCTGAGTTTGTCTAAAGATGTGGTTTTATCTTCAGCATGAAACATATTAAGTTAGCATTGATCTGGTACATTTTGTTCTAAATTTGCCACAAGTAAGGAACAGACTCAAAAACACAGGAAAAAAATAGCCATGTGTTTTATTACACTGTTCTGGCAATAATAGGTACTTTTTATCCCTATGATTTATCTTTTTCATCATGGGAAACAGCAAGCCTCTGAAAGAACCACCTTCATGACTAATGATTCAATCAGCATTTTATACAGATGTGGGTCATATTAATAACTGTTGTTTAAGTGAAAATTACTACACAGTCTGTTGCACAAGTCTGGCTTTTGTATACAAATGTTTCCTCTAGGAAAGGGGCTCTCAGATGAAGACAAAAATACAGACACTGAAGGAGAGAACAATAATTCACTTAGAACTTTCTTAACGTTCACAAAAGGTCAGATACATGCAGGTTCTCCACCTCACACTGAAAAGCTCAGAAATGAACATCCCAGGATGCTAACGCTGGTTTCACAGCTGATGCTTCCCCCTAGGCTGGGCCTGAACTTGCAGCCTCCACGCTCTGTCACCCCCCCGCAGCACACCCAACCCCGTTTCCCGGATGGGCTTTCTTTGCCTTAGGCTGAGAGCTGCTTTATTTTGCACTATTTTCCTGCCCTGTGCCATGCACCTGCCGCCCTGTGAACCACCATTTCACAGAACTCCTCCAGCAGCAAGGTAATATCTCCGTCCGCAATGTGTCTTTCCAGAGAGGAGATGAAAGTTATCTTGCCCTCTAGCGTAGGCACCGCCTGGAAGCCACTGCACGGTGACAGCTCGAGCAGTCTGAAGCCCTGGCCTCCGCACGGTCTCCAAGCCCTGGGCCGTGCTACTCATTTCCCCTCCCCCGCACCCCTCCCCCCAAGCCCTTCCTAAAATAGTCGAGAGTGGAGGAAGGGAGGCTCCTAGATTTTGTCCAACGCCCCGCATCTCCCATCTGATAGTAGCAACAGTACCGACCATCACAACAAGAGGGTGGCTTGCCTTTTGCTTCTGCATCACTGGAGCCCAAGAGAAGTGCCACAAGCGGAAATGACAATCCGAGAGGGGGATATTAATAGGGATATCTACGTACGAGATGTAGGGAGGACGCTCCCCACCTCCTTATCTCCTCATCCCTGAGTATCATACACGTACACACACCACCAACACCATCACCGCCCTCTCCCTCCCATTAAGCACGCACAACCCCAGTATGCAAGTACAAACTTGCTTACAATTTGCTGCAATTTGCTCAGCTTGCACCCACATTCGTATTCTCTCCCCCCCCCCTCACTCCTTCCTTCCATCTCTCTCTCTCTCTCTCTCTCTCTCTCTCTCTCTCTCTCTCTCCCTTTTACCTTCACTCTCCCGGGCTCGTCCAGGTTCCCGGCAGCTACTCGAGCTCACGGCCGGCCGCGGGCTCCGGGAGGGAGCGCGGGCGCGGTGCAGGGCTGCGGGGAGCCGGGCCGCCCTGGTTACGAAGTGCAGCACGCCGGCCGGCTCCCTGCCCGCGGCAGATCCGCAGCCGCGCTCCCCCGGGGCCGCTCGCGCACCCGCTCTCTCCTGCGCCCAGCCGCTCGGCGACTCTGCCCTCCCTCTGCAATCGGGTCCTCCCCTCCGAGGCACCCTGGGGTTTTAGGCCTCCCCCCCCACTCTCCCCCGCCCCCCCGCACTAAAGCTCCTTTCCGAGGGGAAGGTCGGCCCGCCGGGTTCAGCCCCCGGGCAGGATGCGGGCACTACCCCTGCCGCCACACCCCTCCCCGGCCCGGAGCCCCGCGCCCTGCGTCCGGAGCCCGCGCCCGGCTCAGGAGAGCAGGTCCTGGAAGAGCTGGGGCGGGGGCCTGGAGGCTCCCTCGCAGGCTTCCCCTACCTCCTGCAGATGCACGGCCTATGGCTCTCTCCGCGGCTGCAAACCCGAGCCGTGACCCACCCTCTCGGCGAACCTTTCCACCGGGTCCACCTCCGGGGGGAGAGACGAGGAGAAGACACGGTCGAGAGCCCCGGGAAGGAGATGCGCTGCACTAGCCGCTAACTTTTGCTTGGGGTTCCCGCTGCCGGGTTGACCTTTCTAAGCAGAATGTGTCTCGAAAGGCTGGGGTGGTTCACTGATGGTCCCAGGAAGGAAGTGATGCAGTTCAGGGAGGACATTTAGCAGACTCCTTTTAAATCAACTTTCAAAAAGATCCTAACAGCTGACCTTTTGGCTCTCAGATCCGTATTGAACAATTTTAGGGAGATTGGTCAGATTATAGGCTTTTGCTGTTGTTTATAAAGCTTAGATTTTCTGAGAAGGCGCTTGACATCTTAATTCTATTTATTCCTGGTTATTCATTAAAATGATTCAGAAGAACCACCAGTCACTTTCTTCAGACTCCCTATATGCATGCTGCACATTGCAGAGCCATTTGTCATTTATCACGACCATGGTGTTGAGGAGTTCCTGGTGTTGCCTAGTAGCGTTCAGGAGAATCTATTTTGTTGTGCTTTTATGGTCTCTAAGCAAAGTCAAACACAGTCTCCCTTCACCAGCAATGAAGCCCAAGTCCAACAGGATTATGGCAACCAAAATAATGGGACTAGGTTGCAAGAATCTTAAAAATAATAATTACACCTCATATTTTTAATCTGACAAAAAGAGTTTTCTATTCTCTAGATTTGCTAAATGGAAGGGTGGTCTTATAAAGTTGATGACGTTTCTCTTTGCTTCCTGTCTTTCCCTCACTTGCTGCCAACACTACATGATTTAGCTGTGCATTTTCTTAAAATTCTTTTTTCTTCCAGATCCCCTCAAAACAGCAATATCTGAAAGGAATCTGATAAACCAATCTGATGTGCCCTTTTTATTGGGCTTATGTTTTTTAGAGACCAAAGAATGAATCTCTAATGGCAGAATTTGTTACACCAGGAAGTTGGGCCTGGAGAGGGCACAATTTGGGGGAATTGCTTTCCATGTATACCCTGCTTCTGTCTCAGGATGATACCCTTTATGGACTCCCAGAGCTCCCTGTGGAGATAACCTGCAGAGCCCTAGAGTGCAGTCATTTCAGATAGTGCTCTCTTTCTGTGTGGTCATGAAAATGGGTTCCAAGCTTCCAGGCCTGCCGCTCAAAGGAAAAGGATCAGCCTCTGCTCTCCCTCTTGGTTTCCATCTTTATAGAGCCAATTTACACTGAAGGCTTTCCAAGACAGGATAAGAAGGTCTATTCTACAAACTCAAAAGCTCTGTGTGTTAGTTGCCTTACTTGTAAATTCTGAGACTGAAGCATTGCTCCCACCAAGTGAAGCTCCTTGATGAGACCTAGCCGCTGTCCTCCTAGGCTCAAAACTGGGGCCGTGGCTGGCTCTGGTTCCCTGATGAGCTGACTTTCCATTCTCAACTCATCTCCATCCTCTGCACAAGGGCTAAGCACATTATAGACTTCGGGAAAATGCTTGTCTTTTTCATACCCCCTCCTCTGGGGGAGGTTTGTTACAGCCCCAATTATTCAACAACTGATACTTCAACACCCACCCTATGCCAAATGTTGCCCTAAGTACTGTGGTTATAGGGTAAGCAAAACCTGCCCTAGCTCCTGCCTTCACAGAGCTTACCATATGATTAGGAATAGAGCCATTCATCAGAGAAGCACACAAATAATTATAAAACCCAAACCTCCAAGAAACGGCATGTGTTATAAGAGCCTGTGGTGAATTTATTTAATTAATTAAATTAATTCAGTTTAATGATCAGAAAGACTGCTAGGAAGTGATCTGCAGGAAGACTGGCATTAACTAGGTGAAAGAGGGGTAGAGTGCAGCGTGGAAGAGCACTCCAGTCAGAGGGAAGAGTATGGGCAAAGGACTATGGAAGAAAAGGGCATAGTGCATTGGAGGAAGTGAGGAGGTCCACTGTCACTGTAGAAGAGACAGCAAGGGAAAGGATAGAACTTTGCAAACAAAGGGCCCCATGAGGCTCAGAAGGAATGAAGGACAGACTGGGCAGGCCTGAAAGGGCAGCCTGAATTGATGAGCCTTCACATGAAGCCATTAAAGTATTTTCACTAGGTGGTACATGATCAAACTCATGTTTTGAAATGTTCCGTATGGCTATAATATGAGAACAGATAAGGCATGGGATGAAAATGGGTACAAGTGGATCATTTAGAAAGCTGCTCTGGTATCCCTTAGGAAGATCATAGCATTCATAATAGATGGTGGTGGAAACAGTGGATGGATTCAAAGGGAATTTAATGGATGAGATATATGGGACATAAGGCCATGTGTGGCCAAAGGAAGTCAGAATAGTAAAATGATTAAAGACTTGGGTTTGGGTGCAAGAAAACCCTACGTTTGGATCCTAACTCCATCGTTAGCTATCTGTGTGATTTTTAGCTTGTAATTTAACCTCTCACAAATTCAGATTTTACAAACCTATAATTGGGATTATAACAGTATGTCTCATTCATAGGGCTATTGTGGGGACTAAATGAGTTGATACCTGGAAAGCACTTTATACTTCAGTGCCTGGCATGTGGCCAGTTGCCAGGAAATGCAATATAATTATAATGCATCATGATCATAGTTATAGCTATTACTATTATTCTAGATGCTTCTTAAGTTGGCTAATAAAGGGAAACAGTCTCTACTTCACTTTGCAACAGGCTGGTTGGGTGAGGATACCAGTTCCTAGGAGCAGTAAAATATAATTTTGGGACATCACAGGCTGAGAGACACCTGCCAGGGTAGCAATATCCACTTTCCTCCTCCATCAGTCCTCCTCATCTGTCTTCTCTTCATACTCTCTTAATTTACAGAGAGACACATTCTCATATAGCATGGCAGCTGGACCCCCAGTATCCCCTCTCTGCATTAATAGGAGGTGCTAAAAAACAGCAAAAATTCACAGGCTGGGTTCAATTCAGTTTTTCCCAATGCCTGCATCATTCTGCTATATGTATTTGTAAATTTAGAGTTCTAGTGCCCACATGAAATCAGCAAATAATCTTTTTTTTTCAAAGATTTTATTTATTTATTTGTTCATGAGAGACCCAGAGACATAGGCAGAGGGAGAAGGAGGCTCCCTGTGAGGAGCCCAATGAAGAACTGGATCCCAGGATCACGACCTGAGCCAAAGGCAGACGCTCAACCACTGAGCCACCCAGGTGCCTCAGCAAATAATCATTTTTATTTCTATCATTTCTTTTTTATATGATTGTGTTAACACTAAGGCCAAAACTTGCCTTAATTAAAATATGTTGTTTATTTATCAAAGGGATTTGCTTTAGGGGCTTATAGGAAGTGTATCTTTATAGCACAAGAACATGTGCAGCTCAAAACTGGATTTTATCTTCCACTTCTCTCCCCTAGTCTTAACACTCTTCAAAACACACTTCTAGGCAGAGCAGGGAAACTTTAAACAAAAGAGCATTCTTACTGTTTAAAGGTCATGAGACTTGTAATTTTCAAGATCTTGATATAGTCAGGAATGGTCTGGCTGGAGTAATTTCTGCTGGTGGAGTTTGCTAACAAGGGATGAAAGACAGACCAGGTAAGAAGGGTTGACTTCTGCTGGCAAGGAAGCCTCAGAAGGGTTTGGAGTTCAAAGTACTAAGCTCACCCAAATTCTCCAAAATGCCTCTTTCCCAATTAAAGGACTCACTTTAAGTAAATGTCTTCACGTTCACATAAGAGCAAGGCTTTAAATTCATCTTGCATTATAAGATTGCAGCCTGTGGCAATAGATCTTAGGTCTGATTTTTGGTTATATTAACAATACAGCTGTAAGCATAAGGGTCCTAGAAGCTTTCTGGGTCTTTGACCAGGCCTTGATCCAAGACTGTAAAGTTCTTGGTCTTGCCATTTTCTTTCTTTATGGTCTCTATTATAGTCAGAAGTAGTTGAGACATACCCCATAGTTCTCTAGGTCTCATTTCTATTCCACAACAATAGCCAGTGTGGGTTCCTGAATCCTTGACTTCAATAAGCCCTTACTTTTAGGCATCTATAGGTGTTATTTTAAGTAACCGTTAGTCACTACCTGCCTGTCTCCTTAGAATTCTGTTTTACATAGGAATGAGATTATCACTGCACGCAAACCCAACCAGATCAACCAACCGACACGAAATTCTCATCTTGGTAGATCTGCAACAATCTTGGAGTGCAATATTGTGCTAAATTCATTAAAAGAAAAATCAAAATAGCGTGAGGGTTTGATTCGGGGATTCAGGGGCTCAAAAGTTGTCGGTAAAGCTAGAGAAGTGAACATTAGTGTGGCTGCCACTGGAGGTACAGTCCAGAACTCAGCAACTTGTTGCTGCCACCTAGAGGTCAAGATAATGCAGCAAATGGCCAGCAGTACCACAATGCCCCTGCTCTGAGGCTCCCTCTGATGATGGAGCTTGGCATTCCATCAGCCACTGTAGAATGAATGAGGATGGATGGAATGAAAGAATGCCCATCGAGGTGGGAGGGGCAATTATTCCGTGTTTCCTTTGCTTTCATATGTCTTGTGAGAGCGAGGGCAAAGTGCAAATTTCATCCAAAACCCCTAGGAAAGGGAACCAAACTTCCAGCCCCTGAACATAGAATGGATTGTGAATGAGGGTTATTTGCCAACAAAAGTGTTCAGTACGAGCACAGAATTAAGGTAAATGGGATCATACAAACATTTATTTAAACCAAAACTCACAGAAATTGCAGTCTAAGACCCTGATTTTTTTTTAATTTTTTGACCCATTTAATATTGTTCTAGAATTCTAAAAGCTAGGATTTTAAGACTATTTTTAAAAAACAAGACATTTAGCTTACTGATATATTTCAAGATAAAATCATTAATTCCTCAGTGTGGTTTTCTTGCCACTTTCTCCCTATGATTCCTTCAGAACCTGTTCTTCTTAGATTGTTGTTGTTGCTCTCCTACTTTAGTCATCCAGTCCCATGATCATAGTTTTGATTTTGTC